GGACGTCTTGCACTTTAAACCCCGTAGCAAATACTCGTAATTGCCCCCCACTCAAAGTGCAAAATTGAAAAGTTCAGATGCCAACTGATCATGCAAGCTGTCTTGCTCGGCATCTCAGCCTCATCCCAGCCACATCCCCATCCACATTCAGATCTCAATCCCAACCCCGGAATGAACTCACTTCCGTTCTGTGCCATTCCCCCCTATAAGGGGAACGACGAGGGGCCAGCGGGTCCAGTCAGCCCTCAAGTGCAATTCGTAATTACTCATTCATAATTTCTGTTTAATTGTGAGTGTGCCGCATGACCGTATGAGTATTTCTCAGTTCTCTTTCCTCAATTGGGAGCACTACGCATCGTACTAGGTTCATTCATACATTTATTTACGAGTATTTATTATTTGTATTTTTATTTTTATTGGAATTGGTGTGCCGTGGGGTGTGCAGCGGGCAGAGGGAAGGCAAGATCTCGGGTCCAGCAGAGGTCTGGCGGCGTAAATTAACTTAATTGAAATTCGGGTCAACAGAGAGGCCAAGATAATGAAAGAAACTAATTAAGGAGAACTACTGGAGGCACCCCCCAACCCCCCCACCGACACTCTATGACTCTCTGATTGCCCACTGCCCACATGGTTGTGTTTCTTTTTTTTTTTTATTGTTATTGCGGGGTTTGCGCATTTGTCGCCGCTTAAATATTTTCAAATATTTTCCCAAATTGTGTTTGTATTGCCATTATTTGATTAGTTGTGCGCCCTGCCCATGTCCCCTGCCCAGTGGGCCAACAATTATTTTATTAATAAATATTTGAATGGCATGCCCATGCCCTCATCTGAACTCATCATCATCATCGTGGTAGAGCTGTGGACTCTACTGGCCAGCCACATCAGTTTCAATTAAAAACACATTTTGTGGTCACTGTGTGGACGCCACTTAGATGGTTCAAGGGGGTCGGTTCGGTTCGGGTCGGGTCGGGTCGGTCGCTTGGTTAGGGTTCGACTCGGGTTTGGTTTTGGTTGTGGTTCCAATTTTTCCTAGGTGACACGCCCGATACTTGGAGGGCTTCCTATCAGTGCATCCACTGCTGTGGCCTCTGGGGGGACTGGGTGTGGTTTAGCGGCTGGGTGCCATGTGGTGGCCATCAAACTGGATTGCGGATTCAATCGATAATGTCAATATTTTTGCATGACAACTTAGCGGCAGAGTGGAACGGGGCTTAGTGTCAGCTGATATCTGTGTTCAAAGCTCTCCATAACTTGATTCGAAAGCATTACCTCATAAACTAGACGACCTAAGATGGAAACTAGTTGAAAGTAGAATCAAAACCAAAAAGTCCTGTATTTATATACCCAAGTGATATGATATTCTTCTATTCTTCTATCTGCACAAATGTTTATCAGTACTTTCTAGCTTACTCTGCTTCCCCCATGCCCAAAATGTGGCAAGACATCTGCGAAAAATCTTGAAAAAAAGACAAAATGCATTTTCCCTCCAATCTCCAACACCTTGCCAACCACTTAGACACCTCTTTCATCAGCCAGCCAAATCTTCTAAAAGAAAGTTCCCCAACTACCAGTACCACAGCTTGCATACACTGCTCTGCTCTCTCGTATCAAAGATCTCCATAGAACTAGCCCACAGTCGCCAAAAAAGTGAGTGAGACAAGAATGAGTTGGCGATCCCTTGGCGAAGAACACAAAGCCACTGAAATCCAAAGGGAAAAAAAAACCTATGCAGGGCCTAAGCCTTTGCGCACACAAAGCGAGGAACTAGCCGATTATGTATCAAATATTTATGAAATAGAAAGGCACACAGGAACAGGCCAGGATGCGCATCCCAGGGATGGGATGGGACTAAGCCGTGGTTGAGGGGCTTGAATCATTAATGGGCTACAGGGAGCAACCAGGAGTCTAAACGCAGCAGAAGTGTAACAAGCGGCACACGCACAACGCCGCAGAGGAGAGCAGAGAGAGAGCGAAGGATGTGCTGTTTTTGCGCTGAAAAGCGATCCTGGTGTAGGTCCTGTGGTCCTCTGCTTCGGCTGCACGCTGTGTAATCAGGCCTCGGCATCTGCTTGAGCCTCTCTCTGCTTTCTTTGCGGAGCTCTCGGAGCAGGAGACAAGGAGAGACCCGCAAGGTTGCTCTTTCGACTCATCGTAATCCATGCACTTAACCCGGGTAATAAGATAAGTAAGGCAGATCCGCAGAGTCCTCGCTGAATTCCATTCTGCTTGTTATCTTTGTAAATTGCATGTCGAGCACTTAAGCCAATTGTACGAGTACGAGCAGATCCTCAGACAGGGAGCTGGTTAAGACGTTTGTGCGCTCGAGCGCGTGCTACTCTCTCTCTCTGTCTCTCTGTCTCTCTGCCTCTGTATACACCCGTTCCCCTGGCTGCCATTCTCATCCCAATTCTATTCTAAAGTGATACAGTTAAACAAATCCCAAGGCAGCCGCAGTCCATGAACCAATAATGCTTCCACATGAGCAGAGATACTCCTGTACCTTGGACTGATTTAGCGACTTAGACCTTCAGCCTAGTCCCAGTCTCAGTCCCAGTCGCAGTCCCAGTCGCAGTCCCAGTCGCAGTCTCAGTCCCAGTCCGGGGCTTAGGTAAGTGGATTGCTGAATTCAATCCGAATCCAGTGCATAGACCCCTGAAAACCATGAACCATGCCAAGCCATACAGCCACATACGATAATTGGGAAATGTGTTAAGTATATAATGCGCTCATCCGATCTATTTCAATAACAAACCAAACCACCTTAAGCCGGGCAAACCGAGCAAGCCATCCCAATAAAACAATGCCACCAGCGGAATTGTTCCATTGCCCTGATCTGGGGATTGTGCCACAAAAGTTTTCCATCTATTGGACTGGCTCGATGGCTTGGCTTAAGGCGTGGGCCAAAGGCGATTTAACTCTTGCGCTGCACCTAAGCTGCGCATAAACCCCAAATATGTACATACACGTAGTATATATATGTACGTATGTAGTACAGGAGCTTGTTTTTAAGGGAAAGAGGTTCGCCAGCTCTGGCTCTGCTCTGAAAGAGTTCTTCTTTAGAGTCGGCGCAAATGAGCAAATGCTATGGTTGGCATGTGTCGATATTTGATAAACAAAGCAATGGGTTGGACTGAGTAGCAAAATGGGTAATCCAGAGATTATTCCTATATCCAAATGAACTGCAAATGGTAGAGCTTTAACATTATAATAAGTAGGAGTTGTACGGGGGTAGCTCTGATAAGCATAAAAGAGCAGTTCCACTCTCTCCCTCTCTATCCATTATCCACCTCTCGAGTACGACGCCTATACCCTACAATCCACTAGCTCCTAGCTAGCTTAGCCCAAGCCCAACCTCCAAGCCCGATTAACGATCGCTCTACACATCAACACACATCAAGACAGGAGACCCTGCCACTCGATCTGCACTCGATTAGGTAGCACCACTGCCAGCTGACTCTCTGAACTATTACACAACTCCGCTCCCAATCTCCATGCCCCTGCACCGATCTGACACCTTATAAAACTGCCAGCTAATCGCTTCAATAACATGATTTACCCAACACACACACACACAATAATTTACAATTATTGAAACGAAGAAAAATGGGCACACAAAATATGATAATTGCTACTGATCGTAGCTCTCCCTGCCACCATACAAACGATCGTCGTAAGGCTGCCAGCAAGAGAGAGATAGAAAGAGAGAGGGAGCGAGAAAAAGCCATCGGAGATTAATCTAGTAACGATGATATTAATTATCATTTCGTTTACAAATCGGTGTTCGGGTTCGGCGGATAAGAAGAGAGAAAAGCGCAGTATTTATGATATTATCAAGGCTTGTTATTCGAATTTTTTTTGTTACTATTTTGGTTGGGGGAAAACTTGTTGATGCCATTGATATCAGGCAGCGATCGAATGATGATGATGATGATGCTCCCTTTTTCTCACATCTTTTACTCCAACGCGCACTTAAGCACACACACAGCTACACTCACACACACGCACACACCCACACACACACACACAACAAACACATGTCAAGTGATCAAAGAATCAGAAGCCGCTTTCTGTGCTCTGTGCCCTGTCCCTAACAGCCAAGTGAAATTTTCGAAATTGAGCCATCAGCAGCGTAGAGTAGAGTAGCGTAGAGTGCCGTAGAGAGAGAACCCAAAAAACAGTTTGAGAAATTTCTCAAACAACGCCCAACGTTCGTTCGTTCGTTCGGTTGTGCTCTGCATGTCGGTGCCCTTTCTAGTATTTCCTTAAGGTTCTCATCTTTCCAAAATCGAGAGACGCGCTGCGCTGCGAGATCCCGGTGCCGGGGCATATTAGTTTGAGAAATTGTATAACAAAAGTTAAGAAAAATTGCCCAGAGAGAAGTGTGCTCGCTATGTCCAGCACTAGTAGACAATGGCCTGGCTGGACCCCATATCGTATCGGATCGTATGGGTATGGGTATGGGATGTTACCTGCGGTGCCCAGCACATCGCTCACAGCTGGAGTTGTCACTGGGCATGTAAAGACCCAAACAAAATTGAGACAACAACACACACACACACACACACACACAAACACACTGGGGGTAAAGTCAATGGGTGATGGCTCATTTTGAATCTACTTCTCGTTCATCTGGCTCCTACTCCTCCTCCTACTCCCTGCTCGTTTTCTGCCTTTTTTTTTTGGGAATCATTTTCATGTTTGCCGCTGGCTCAGCAAACAACTAATTAAGTCATCAGGATGAAAGAAAGTCGATGGAGGAAGCTGAATAAATGTGAAACGAACGGAGCTGGACAGCAGCTGCAGGGCAGGCAAATGTAGCTAAATGAGGCGCTGACTTCAGAAAAAAAGAAATATTTTATTTTATTCCTTTCAACTGATTAATTCTGATTCCAAATAATCATCTTTTCGCGGATAGTTTCTCTGAAAAGTACACTGAAAATATTGCTATAAATTATGACACAAAATGGAATTTTTCTTTTCAAATTTTTGTTTATTTATTTTTTTAATTTTGTGATTTTCATGGGTAAATATTTGTCTAAGTTATGTACAAAATTTGCAGCCAAACCACAAAAGCGCCCATCGTAAAACGTAAGACGATTCGGCACCAGAAGGCGGGGGGCTGCAGAGCCCTCAACCGAAGCGGGCCAAAAAGTTTTTTCTGGCTTTTCTTGTCGACTTTCCAGGCCGACTGCGGGGGCCCGCTGAAGACCAAATATGTATAATAAATGGCCGAAAGAATTTGCTAAATGCAGCATTTAGACGTCATAGGAGATGGGGGAGGGGGCAGCAGGAGCCACTCCCGCTCCCACTCCCCACTGTGTGACGGCGGCGGCTTGGCAAAGCCTTGTCCCGTGGATCCAAAGCGCTGGGCGTTGCAGCACCGGGGGCACACCTTAGCTGCTGGGGAACTTGCCGAAGAACTGCATCCGCTGGAAGAGCTCGGCGCTCATGTGCGGTGCGTAGCCCTGCAGCTGGGCGGGATGCGGCGACTGCTGATGGGTGGGTGCAGCGGCAGCAGCCTGGTACTGCATCTGCTGGTGCAGTGCCGCCTGATAGGCAGCGGGATTCATGCGCTGGTAGAGTGCAGCAGCGGCAGCGGCGGCGGCGGCAGCAGCTCCGGCAAAGGGCACTCCGGGGTAGCCATAGCCGGGCGCGGGGCCCCCATAGCCACTGGGCATCATGGGCGAGAAGATGGCCTGGCGGTAGGCGGCGAGGCGGGTGCGACTGGCGCCGGGATTCTTGCGGCGCAGCTTTCCAGTGGTCTCTCCGATGAACACCTCCTCGGCAGAGGGGTCCAGGATCCAGTAGTTGCCCTTGCCGGGATCGTCGTAGCTGCGCGGGATCTTGGTGAAGCACTTGTTGAGGCTGAGGTTGTGGCGGATGGAGTTCTGCCAGCCCCGCTTGTTGGCCTTGAAGTAGGGGAAGCGGTTGATCAGGTACTGGTAGATCCCATTGAGGGTCAGCCGCTGCTCGGGGCTGTCCTGGATGGCCATCATGATGAGCGCATTGTAGCTGTAGGGGGGCTTCTTGGTGTCGCTGCTGCAGCTGCTCATCTTCTGCTTCTTGCTGGGGTTGCTCTCGCCCTCGCTCTCCTCCTCCTCCAGCTGATCCTCCTCGTCGTCGAACTCCACATCGAGCTTGTCGTTGTTCTGCGAGGACAGGGACTCGGCGGCACTGCTCATCGGTGTGCTGGTGCGGGAGGGACTGTCGAAGTCCTCCGAGGCCGAGAGCTCACCATCAGAGTTGCCATACGGATGCACATACTGGTGATGATTATGATGATGGTGATGGTGATGGTGTGGCAGGGCCATCGGCTCATGCTTGATGGTGTGCATCGGCGTGGATGTGGATGTGGCTGTCGATGTGGTTTTGTTTGTGGGTTTCTTGGCCAGAATGGCATCGATGGAGAAGTTGCTCTTGAATTCCATTTCGCAAACACTTTTCACCATTTTCTTTCGAGTTATTATTGGAGATATTATAGTTTTTCTTTGGTCTGGACACACACACGGAATATGCTCTGTTTTTTTCTTTTTCTTTTTGTTTTGAGTTGTGGTTGTGGCACGTTGCAAGCTGTGGGCAATACTGACTCTCTACAGCTCTGGCGAGCGCTATTTATAGTGCAACCCCTCGAAGGGAAGTGTACACAAGAGGCCTGAGAGAGCACACACACACACACACACGCACACATGCACAGGCAGCGTACGCTCTCTCGGCACTTAGGTAGACGAAAGAGAGTGACTCCGCCCTCCATTTGCTGCTGCTGCTCAACCATTTTGTTCCACAGGTTCCACATCGCTCCCTGGTTGTCTCGTTTGCTTTGCTTTGCTTTGCTTTGCCTTTGCCTTGCTTTTGTTTTGGATATTTTGGATGTTGTGTGGATGTTTATTTGCAGTCTTTTGCTGCTTCGGCGTCAAAATATCCATTACATCCAATCCAAACAGCCAGATGGGGTTGCAACATCCATATCCGACCATCTCTTTCGCGCCCACTGTTTTGACCATTAATTGAACCAACAATTTTCGATGGGCGAGTAGTTCCGATGGTTGTGCACTTTGCACTTTCATCAATATCAATATAAATATCAATTTCGGCATCGAATCATTTGTCGGGCTTTGAATTCGCGGAATTAGTTTTAAGAGATATTCGCCTAATCCCGCCCAAACTAGTTCAAGGGTCCGTGGTCCTGGATTACTTGAGGCAGATCCCTTCACTTGGCTTACGGCACGATTTTCAACAGCTCAATGGAGCTCAAGCGTTCAGGCGTCTGTTGCCAGGTAATCCCCGTGCTGTCCGCCCTGCCCTGCCCTGTCCTGTCCTGGGTCCTGGGTCCTGGTGCTTCCTTCGATGCTTCGCCGCTGAAGGGTTAACCCTTAAATCAACGGGATTTGTTCTAGTTTCGCGACAGATCTCCGAATTAGTTCTGGCTGCACTTCGCCCGCAATCCAGCCCGAGCTCGAGTGTCTCTTCAGCTTATTATGCAGCGACAAATTTATCCAAATAAATATTTGTGCTTAGGTCTTGGGAGTACTTACTTTAAAATTGGTTTAGCTAAGTTAAGTTATGTTATGGAGATTTTACTTGGAAGTTAAATCAGAGTGGAGAATGCGAAAAGGGAATGCTGCAAGAGAAAGAAGAGGTAGACAGGGATAAAGCCTTGTGGGTTGCGGAGATTAATGATTAAAACAAATATCAACATTTCTGTCACATAAGAAATATACCCAAATTATTGTTTATTATTATTATTTCCTAAATTATTTAATTATTCTCACAGATTTATTGCAACATTTGCCATCATTTTATTTTCTAAATCCCAATTTATTACTGAAAATTCTTTAAAACTGTTTAAACCCATAAGTTTTGGAAGGGGAAGGTATATATATATTCTTGAATTATCTTGCTGGAATATATTCACAATTTATTGTTAAAGTTTTTTTTTGCCTCGAAATTTATTTGAAGTTCTTTATATGTTTCAAAAACCCTACAAAAATTGCATATATCATTGCAGCGATGACAATTGTTGTAGTAAGTGAACTCAAGCGATTCGTTGCCACATGCAACTCATGTGGAAAGTCCTAAAATGTGTCCTTTAAAGTAGCAGAGATCAAACGAAGCGTCTTAGACAACAGACTAGACTACCGAATTGGATGGGATTTTCGATCGGACCACGACTGGACGGATCGACTACAATAACAAGGAAGTACAAGTGGTTTTTGTTGCTACAGCGCTTTATGTTTTTATGGCATGTTTTGTTAGAACAATTGAACAAATATGTACATCCCATATATAAATTGGGCGAAAGTCAAGTACAGACAATACAATACAATGAAGACGTCAGCGCTGTGGGTTATTATGGATAGATGGATGGATGTGGAGTGGGAGAGAGACATTACTTGTCGGCGGCAATATGCTTTTGATATCTTAGACAACTTGACAAAACAATCAAAGCAGCAGCAACAGCAGCAGCAGCAGCACATGTTCCAAATGACTGTCTATTAATTTTACTTCTTACTTTTCTTATTTTTTGCGCTCAGTGAAAAAAAAAAGTGAACAATGGTTTCCTAGGGACAGGGGCAAAAAGTAGGCAGCGCACTTTTGACGCAGTAGTCCAATTGCCGATGATAATGATGCACTCAGGGGTTCGGCAAAGTTGAAAGAGGAGAAGAGCAAGCAGGTCCATCCACACAGTCAGTTTGAGCAAGAGAGGGGTAGGGGGAAGAGGAGAGATGTTAAAAAGTAGGCGGCGGCTAGGGCCAACAATGGTTACGGCGGCAGGTTCAGTTACTCCAAACTATTCTTTCGTTTTCTTTCGTTTCGTTTCGTTTTCTTTCTTTTTTTTGTTCCTAAGCGGAGGGATAAATGGAGATTTGAACGCCTCAATTTTCGGTGCGGTGGCGGCGGCGGCGGCGGCGGCTTCCCTTCCTCACTAATTGAGTTGGATTTCTCCATAGCGTCGCGACGCCTCGTTCTTTTTTTTATTTTTTTGCAAGTGGGAGAGTTGTAGATGAAAGGGGGTTTACCGCCCTGGACCTAGGCTTGACTCTGACTCTGACTTTTCCCTGGTGAGTGCATAATTTTGACAGCCGCGACAAAACTAATTGATTTGTGAAATCCAGTCATCCATCCACAAAGCCGATGGCCGATGGTTCCTGGACACACACATTGCCGGGGGAATCAGTATATAATTCTCTTAGGGCAGACGCAGACGCAGACCTAGAGCATGTGGTCGCTGATTGGGTGATCAGGACCTTCGACTCCACGCTGGCTGACATTATGGTTTCATTGCCAAAACCACACTTAGGCTGCGGGCTGCGAGCTGCGGACTGCGAGCTGCGAGAGAGCTTCACGCTTGAGGTGACTGCTACGCCTGCCTCATTACCCATAGAACTATTGAAGCATAGAAAACGATACGAAATGCATAAGCGAATTCCGAGTAGACACCGTGGCCACAGACAATGTCCATGTAATTTCCAATTAACGCCACAAGATCTCCTCCTTTCGCCTCCTCTGCACTCCGCTCTCCACAGTCCCCGAACGAACTTCTTCAAACCGGACAAACTTTCGCCCATTTCGTTCCACTGCTGGACAGCATTGAGTCTCATAATTGATCGTAATGTGCGATATTTCTCTAAGGTCCATGAATATGGATGGATGGATGGATGGATGGGATGGGATGGTCCTCCCTGCACGCTGTTCTGTCAACAGGCTGCTGCACAACGACGATTGTCACATGGCCCGAAGCCCGGGGCTGGACACCAGCAGGACATCGGCATTTGTCGCGCTCTGCGAGTCTTCGGTGTTCGTCTTCGTCCTCGCACTTTGCCTTTCTGCCATTGTCCCGTGGGCCTGGCTGTCGACAGGATACGAACCTCGGACTCGGTTCGCATTTTATGGCTAAACAATGCCCATGATCGATCTATCTATCGATCTTTTCAGGCCTCAAAAATCAACCGATTTTTTATGCATCCAGTGCGGGCGCGGGTGCGGGCATTGGGCATTCAATGCGAAACGCTTCAATCTGGCACTAATCAGGGCCCACTCCTGAGAGGGTCCTCTCTTTTGGGTATTTGGTATTTTCTGTGTGTGTTTCTCTGTAAATCTTAGTTTATTGATAAATCTTGTGACAATCCTAGATTTTGAATGAATCCCGCTTCTTAACTTCTTAGGTAGCACCATCCTGACCGGATTTAAGTCCATATTGCCTTTATGATCTGCCTTCACTTTTACGGCTGTCAAATAGATCCCTCAGGTAGCTGCCGAAAACTTGCAAGTTTATGGATCTCCACAGCTACAGGTAGAGGGTGTGGTGCAAATATTTAATAACCCATTGTGAAAGAAGAATTAAATATATTATTTTATAACGTTTTTAGCTGACAACCGAATATTGAAATTAAAAGTTATGCACAGCTCTACCATGGGGGGCGATTCGAAACTTCTATCACTCGTTTTGGTTGAGGATTCTATGGACTATTAAAGCGTTAACATTTCCTTAAATACAATCGAATATATTCAAGTCTTTTCTATATATGTAATTAAGCTGTCAAAAATTATATGTTTATTTAGAAACAAATTAATATAAATATTATTCCCTACTCCAAGCACGTAGAGAAGCCTCCCTTTCGATTGTGGTACAGTTACCGCTTAGTTCTACCCCGATCCCGATCCCTATCCCTATCCTGACACACACAAAGAGAGACGTCTTACTCCACACACAGACACACACACACACACACACACGTTAGTGGGAGAGGGAAACGTAGCCATGGAACCAAAAATGGATGGACATGGTGCTGCTACTAACGAGCAATTATCGCCAGCTCCCAGGCGTTGTTTCACGATTTCACACGCCCAGAGCAAGAGACGAATAGAGAGATTTAGAAGGAGAGAGGGAGAGGGAGCGAGTTAGCGGAGCCAAACCTCCGAGATATCCTGTATAGAGCATCCTCATCACGCATTTGCTACGCTTTGGGGGGGAGTCCAGGTCCAGCATCATGGAAACCTGCAAAAGGCACACACAAACACAGATGCACGAATATACGGAATATACAGAGTCAAACTGAGACACAGATACACAATACAGATGTCTGACTCGTTCTGTGTGTGTGTGTTGTTGGTGCATATTGTTAGGACACAATGGATGAAAATATTTTCGTCCTGTTGTCAAATGATTGCATTTAATGTATCGAAATCTGCGTGACGAATCAATTTAGTTCTGGCAAGCTGCAATGGGAAAACGAGGAGAACGAGAATTGGGATTGGGATCGGGAATGGCAACCAGTTGCCTTTATAATTCGATCAACTGTGGGATATCTGTATCTTTATCTGTATCTGTGTTTGGTCAGCCATTGCCTTGCATCCTGTCTGGCACATGGCGGGTCCATGTCCACGTCCACGTCCTCAACCGCATAGACAACTTAATCAATAAGTTTCACCCTGTCCCGAAGGATGCGAAATATTTTTTAGTGTGTGTGTGTGTGTGTGTGTGTGTGTGTGTGTGTGTGGAACCGATCGGTTATAGTCCCCGTTACAGTGGGTGTTGTCAGGCAACGGCTATGGGGAAATGACTGTGCC